TTCTAGTCTGCGTGTGCAGGTTCTCTTTATGCAAGTGCAACATTATCCAAACCGGACTGTTGTTTCTCAAGCTCCTTGCTTCCGGCCATGACATTGCGAGACGTTTCCTTTGATCGCCTTGATTTGTCTTACTTGGAGCGAAGTAGGTCACATCCTTCGAACGTTTGGACCGTTTTTCTCATGTGCTTTCCTGGACCCTGTGGCGTCCTTTGATGCTTCATGTAGTTGCATGGGGCTTGCAACCTAACAGTGACGAAATTTGTGTTGATCTCGACACTTTGCGCCAATCTCTCTTTTCGACGGCGCCAGAGCAGTCTCGACTTTGTTTACCTTGGCAGCTTGATCATCTTATGTCCTTTCGCCATTGGGCCTCAGAGTGGCTCCAATTCAAGTCAGTCGACTTGATCCGGCATCAGCCTCGTCGAGAGCTCTTGATCCGTCTATTGCGCAAGTATGAGTTCATGTTGCAAGCCACACCGCTCAATCAAGCGGTTTTGACAGTGCTTCACTTCCTCGAAACCTAGTTCGATGCATCTGGATTCCTTTCGATGCAGTTCGATGCCTAACCCGACCGTCGTGAAAGCGCGACGAATTTCGTGCCCGACCCCAGAGAGAAAAAGAGTTGCGCGTGTGAGTCTTGCTGTGAACAAACCTGTTTTCTTGTGAAACGTTCTCATGCATGGCAATCACAGAGAAAAATAAAGCGTTCTTCTGGGTATTTGCCACGTGCAGAACTGGAACCTGTATCGCTTGTCTAAAATTTGCTCACATGTCGCCCGTCGTTTGTGCCTACTTGCAGCTCTCGCATACTATTACCTTCGTTTATAGGAGGCAGCACCTTGTAGAGGAAGGTTCAGACCAGGATCTTGAATCTTGACTGCGTGTTGTTTGATTTGCCGCGTTTCGGCCACTCTCCAGGGCTGCTGCGTCGGCACTTAGCTGGTCCTTTTGCCCTTGGCCTTTCCCTTGGCCTGCTCGATCAAAGTGGTGGCATAATCAATGGATCCAAGTGTCCCTGCACATGTGGGACATTAATGCTCTTTCTTTTGCGCCGTTGGGACATGTGAATGATGAAGCAGTCTTGAGACATGTGAGAAATGCGTTTTTGTGAAAGAGATCCATTCCCATCTCCTGCAGCTCCCGTTGCCACAGGTTGTACTATGCTGCACTGTGTGCTTTGCCTGCCCTGACGGCGGGCGGAACCTCAGCTGTGCGCACGGGATTTTCTCGCCTGTTCACGGGTAAGGATTTGCTCGCCTGTGCACACGTTACATGGTACTGTGGAAGCAAGCAGGAAAAAACAATCATCATGTAGAAAAATGTCCTCAGAGACGTTATTAATGCCCCACCCGCCCACCCCACAAAAATTTAAGTTTAATCAGAAAGTGAGCATTTGTGTTCACTGACCTGTAACAAAATGTCAGGCACACATCACATCAACTCAATTTGTGTGTGTGTGTGTGCAGGTGAGCTAAATCTGTGTGCGCAGGTGAGCTTGTGGTACCAGGCACATGTGGTGCCAGGCACGGTTTTGTATTGGTTTTAATCGATGTGTGTACAGGTGAGCTCATCTTGTGTGCGTAGGTGAGTTACTTTTTACAAAAACATAATGTGTGTGTGTACAGGTGAGCTATTGTTGCGTGCGCAAGTGAGGCGCCATCCCCTGACGGCAGTGCAACAACCTGTGCAATGACCAGTTTTGATTGGCACCCATGCAGTCGGAAACGAATTTCACATGATTTTTTCGCCTCCCTGCTGTTCCGAAGGCCAAAAGTCTAAAAGCAGTCCACACTTAGCCCTGGTATGCCCTGGTGCAGGTTTCAGTGAGTCACAATGTGGATGTTATCATTGTTGCAAGCATTTCAGTCCGTTGGTGTTCGTTATTTTTGTAGGCCAGGACCAGGTGGAATATTTTCCAAGGTTTGTTGATGATTTGTTTGTGTCAGCATTTGTTTGATGTTCCAGTGAAAACTTGAATGGCGGAAGGTCACCAGACATATATAGATTTGTTTCGGATCTTTTGAATGATGTTTGGCTCAATCAGGTCGACCAACGACAGACTGGGGGAGAAAAACCCATGAAAGAGCCCAGGTTTCACCATAGCCCTGGTCAACTTTGTAACACCCTCTAAACTTGGAGCATTGCAAAGGAGCGGTAGTAGTCACTACATTCCAAAAAACAAGGGAAAAAAAACACAGCGCTGCGTGTCCAGACATCCGGACAGCGCCGACGTGAACGTCCGCACGTCGGGAGTGGTTGAAACGAACCGCAGGGGTTGGTGGATTGGCCGGGGTGGATCTTCGGAGGCGGGGGCCTTGCACCACGTTCGATCGCATGGCTCACGTTCGATCGCATGGCACGTTTGGTCTGTCAAACACGCCAGGGTTTTGTGGAGATCCTTGCAGATCCAGGCTTTTCATGGGTCAGGTGGTGTAAGGACCGTGAAAAAACAGTCCTTGACGTGAGGTCTTTTGACCCGAAGATGGCAAAACCTCCAGCGCCAGAGAAGTCGGAAGCCTGGCGCCCGCCAGATCCTGTCTGTCGCATTGATCTTGTTTGGTCAAGGATTCAATTTTTTGCACATTTTAGGATATGTATCGCATAAATTACGACCATCCGAGATGTTTCTCTCAAAAGAATCCCACAAAAAAATTGACATTGTCCAGTAGGCATTTGGTCCGCTTAGATACTCTCCAACCAGACAACCCCTCAACCTCACTTCAATTTTGGCCGCTTGGACTGAGGCCTTGTGTCTCGTCGGGCGAATCCTCCTTCAGGATTTCGTGGACCATCCCAGAAGTGGAGCCGGAGGCCACTTGAGATTTTCGGTCCTCCGGGTCGCCGTTGTTCGTTTTTTTTCACTCATGGGTGGCTGAGTTCAGAGGTGCCTCACGTGCCTTTCCCAGCTTTTTTTCTCTTGGTAAAGCCAGGACCCTCTGAGCATTTGTTCTGTTCTTCAGTTCTTCTCTCGTTCACGAGGTCACAGCCTCCACCTTGAAGCTGCGGATAAAGGGCAGCACCAGGCCCCGGCAAGTGGGCAGATCCAGGAGATGGCTGTGGTGGAAGAGGAACGCCCTTGAAGAGGGACACCCTTTTGAGAAAGCCTGGGGGTGGCTTTCTTTTGGTCTTCAATCCAATCCTGAGTTCATAGAATACAATGAATACTGCTAATTTGAAGGTAGATTGCTATTCCCACAGACCCACAGTGTCCATTGAGTATATGATAGTATATGTGATTTGTTAATGTAATATGCATAGTAGGTATCTCACGGTGAGGTTGCTTCTTGTCACCTGGATCGGATCCGACGACGCTCCACGTGCTTGGGGACCCTGCCTCCCTGGTCCCTCGCGGCACTCGTTGCGAGGCTTCACAACTACGACCACGGCACCGGACGACTCGTTCCCAAAGGTGGCTCCACCGTCCGGGAGACCCGGGACGACCGGACGACCGTCCGGTGAGGAGAGGTCGAGATGGACCTAGCTGAAGATTTGCCATAGCTTTTGAGCTCAGAACCTGAAGATGCTTGGAAGACTCTTCTTCAGAAATTGTTAAAAACGGGTTCCCGTTTTGGTTCTTTGTGACAGACCGACTTGAACAAAGACTTCTTACCTGGTCTCGCCTCGGCTCTCAGGTGCCCGCCCCAACCTGTGAAGTCACAGTGGAGGGCTGTGAGGAGGGCATTGAGTATGAGGCGCTGGGTTTCAGGAGGTGCTGAGTCAGCACCTGTCGCTCATGATCCGATCCACCTGCAAAGGTTCATGGTGCCGCCCGTTGGTGCCGCAGAACCAACCAGGAAAAACACGGCCCTGTGGTCAGACCCGTGGTCAAAGGATCCGTGGTCAAAGGTCCCAGAGGTGACTGTCAACATAATTTTCCATGATCCAGTTACCCAATCGAAGTCCATATCAGAAGTTGAACTGTCTAGTATCTGAGATACAAGGTGCTGTTGAAAGAAGTCCTCAGGCTTCGGCTTCATCCTATCTCAAAGGTGAGCCAACAACCCCGCTTCAAAGGGCCCTAGTGGCTGCGCAGCAAGAAACTACAAAAAACACACATCCACATCAAAACCTGCAAATTTATATACCTCGCCAAATTTGTCCCACACTCGCACACACTTCAAACCTTTTTGCTCCATACTCACTAGTCTGCATCCCATGCAGTTTTGAGCTGCTTACTTTGCATTCCAACCTTTGGGACCCCTGCGTTCTTCGGTAGGAGTCTGTGAACACTGCAAACTTCCCATTCAAGTCCCATGCGTTTCCCATTGACCAGAGTTTTTTCTAGGAAAACTGCAGGCTTTGGTCACCTGAGCGTGAAGAAGATCCACTTAGAACAGGTCACCTGAGCCCATCGGGTAGACGGGCCCTTAGGGGCTCATGGAGTTCGTCACTCCGTGAGGCCGTCCTGGCCGTGATGAACAGCGAGGGGTGGAGCGAGCCTCTTGGGCAGAACTGGAGCCGCCAGTCGTTGCGGTCGCAGCAGTGGGTCGCCTCGTTGGGGGGGGGGCACTGGCACCTTTGGCACCTGGGAACACCCAAAAAGACGGTGGGGCCGGGCTGGGGGCTGGGTGGCGCAAAGTGCAGGATGTTCGTCTTCCATCGATCTTGGAATTCCCAAGCCTCCAAAAACACCCCTACCTCACCATTGCTTCCAAGGAGCTCCCCAGCATTTTGCAATGTGGGTCACCACGGTCACCCCCAGGGGACTAAACCCTCCGTGGTTCCCGCCAAAGCCAACTCGGGCTTTCATGCCTCCTCCCACGCACCCATTTTCCCGCCCGCCCAGCGCAATGACCCTGGGGGTGCTCTCGACGCGATGTCTCCAATGATGTCTGAGGCCCTCGCCCTTTAGTGAGGCGGGCTGGTTTGGTGCCTCTTTGAAGACACGTGTGCGCAGCCTCAGCCCGTGCATTGGTAAGCGCAAGCCCGTGGGGTGCGCCGCCTCAGCGCAAGCACGCCGGTGTGGTAGGTTGATGATCGAGTCTGACCAGGTCGCCCGAGCAAGCCGCAGACTCAATTGAAAGGCCCAGACAATGTTTAAAGGTTTTTGGGTCCAAGGAAACCATCAAATCGAATGGCTGGGGCGACCCCGATTTGGATTTGGATGGCCATGTGGGTTTTGTATACATGAAGAGACACTTATATAAATGGGGGGCATATACTGTATACTATATCGACTACAAGATCTGGCAGAAACAAGACTTGAACACCTGCAGCTCTTTTGTGTTTTCCATTTTACCCTATGAGATCTATGAGTGACTGGGGTGTACTCTCAGTTCATAAATTGTTTCATCAAAGGATCAGACCAGAGACCAGTACACATTGATCGACACATCCGTCCTGTCCTGACAAAGGATGGACCCTAAAATGAACTGAACAAAGGCCCCTCCCACGACCCGGGTCCAACTGAACAACGGTCGTATCTCCTCGTGTCCTGTCGGTTTCTCTTACACCCTGAGATTCCAACCACCCTTGATTTAATGGTTCTTTCCGAACAACCATAGTTTACTAAGGATTTCAGACTGCAACACACCTAACCAGCTCAACCATTTTTCAAACATCGTCTTGAAAGGCTAGGGTATACAGGTATAACTTAATCATCGCCTCCAAATCAGACCCTTGACACCACAGTAAAAACACAACCCAGTGGGCCATGCAGAAACACCACAATGAAGGGGTTGATCGGCGGTTGCTGCATCTTTCGACCCGGTTGCGCGGCTTGATTGCCCCATGTGCTGTCTTCCACCAGTGGGATCAGGGAGTCTGGAATTCTTTTATGCCCTCCCCCTTTCCTGTGGAGTCTCCGATGGAATGTCCGATGGTGCGCCGTGGCGCCGGCGCCACGAAGCCGAGCCAGGACAAGCCACCGAAGCCCACCGCGCCCTCGCTCACGGCCCTGGGCAGCGGGAAGCTCCGTGTGACCTGGGCTGGGAGCCCTGGGAGCGGAGATGGAGCGCTGGAGTTTGACGCCCGGAGGATATGAGAAGTGAGAGAATTGAGAGTGGCTGGGAGAATGAAGAAGACATCCAATTCTTGCTTGGAAGTCGAGGATTAATTCCACCAACGAAGCAGCTTTGTGGTAGATTCTAGCAACTCTCAACAGAAGAATCATTTCTTTTGCGGTTAAGGAGTGTTTGGATTTCCACAATCTTGCAAGAATCATCTGGTATGCGATTCCTGGCTGAAGCCATCATATGAGGGCGAGAGGAGAGATAGAGAGAGAGAGAGATCCCAGAAAGTTGCATGTTTCAGGTGCCTTTGTATGCATTCCAGAAGTTTAAGACCTTCCTTCCTGTGGCATCCTTTCTGCTACAGTGGTTGGGGGACGCTCAAGGGGGCCAACTACTGAAGGCATGTGCATTCCTATGGATGAAACCTTCCATTCAGCTCATTCCCATTCTTGGTGTGGAAACGGCCGTGGCCCGACACTCGGGCTGAGGCGGTGCCGAGCGCAGCGCCACCTGTGGAAGCCACTCAGGCGATGCTTTGGGCGTCCGCCGCCGAACGACCGCTGCGTTGATGTTGGGAGAAACGCCATGAACGACCCGTTTTGGGATGGCCGCGAACGGTGGTTTTCAGGTGGATCGGGCGGGTCCCCCAACTCCGCTGTCGCGAAGAAGCAGTGGACAGGTCCAGCTGACTGATGTGGGCACAGGTTCGGGAGCCCAACACAGAAAGGCCGTCTTCGTCTGCGTCAGTTTGGAGCTTCTGCGTCGGTGTGGTTGATCAGGGCCCTCATCACTGCCACGGGCACTGCATGGCCACCGGACATGGGGGGGCAGGGGCTGCACCGCTTTCAGTGAGTTACACTTGGTCCAGTGTACTTGAGCGGGAACTCTACCCACACGGATGGGTCGAGGCCCATTTGGCCAGGATCGGCGCTAACGAAATGTCAAAGCTTAGTGTCTGTCGTTCGATGCTTCGAGTTGTCGATGCTTCCAGTTCGATGCATGGGCTTAGAGAAACAGATTTTGAGTGGGCATTGACTTCTTAGATCCGGTCGCTTGTGGTGGTTTTTCAGAAGATGGTCTGAAGAAGCACGCCAGGTTAAAAAGATTGCGGCCAGTCGGGCTCAGACCACGGAGACGGCACGGAGATTGCAAGTAGGAAAATGGACGAATCCTTCGAGACTGTGATGCCAGTTTGGCCAGAGGTTCCAGAAGGGGCTGCCAAAGAAAGGGAAGGTTCGCCTCAAACTGTTCATGATCAGAACCTGTTCTGCCACCCAACCGCCCCAACTATCGCAAAAGTGTCCATTCGACCTACCTCAAAGGACCCCAAACGACCCCAAGCGCGTTTAGATTATAAGATATACGGGGGGGATTCCGGCGACACCAAATGGCCGAGCTTCTACCACCGCGACCCTCGTGTGCCGCGCGTCTCGGCCAGCCAAGCCGGCCGACCCAGCCACTGCCGCCGCACACTGCGGTGGATGGAGCGTACCGTGGAGCGAAAGTGGGCAGAAATGGAGCTGCCATGGTGGGTGGTGCTGTGGCGATGATGTTCAGGCTTTTCTACAAGTTCAAAGTTTCTCGAAGATCAGCCTTTGAGGTAAGGGATTTAGGAGCGAAGGGCATGGGAGTGGTGGCAGCTCGGAAGATTCAGAAAGGTGAGCTGCTGTTGCGCGAGCAGCCACTGCTTGTGGTGAGCCATTGCCAGGATTCCAGGCAACTGGGCACTTGGGAGCAGGAAATCGAAGAGGCCTTGGGACGCTTGCCCGATGACCAGCTGCGAAGTTTCTGGAGCTTGTCTGATTGCCATTCCGAGACCAAGACCTCGGCCGTGGGCATCGTGCGGACCAATGCCTTGCCGATCGAAACGGCCCAGGGTGACATGGTGGGGGTCTATGCGAATGTTTCAAGGTTCAACCACAGCTGCAACAACAATGTGAACAACAGCTATCAAGAGGAGCATGGAGAGGTGGGCAAGGGGAGTCAAGCTTCCCATCGACCAGTTTAGCCCGGGACTATCATCCTAGCCCGTTTTCATGGTTTTCATAGGCAAGATCATATGTATGAATACTGTATTTCCCTGATCAACCAACGAATCTGGCATGAAACTTCAAAGAATCTGGGCAGGTGTTGCACGCCATTCGTGACGTGGAAGCGGGGGAAGAGTTGTGCATCACGTACATCGACCTCTTCATGACGCGGCAAGAACGCCAAGAGGCTTTACGGAGAACGTTCAACTTCAAATGCACCTGTCCCAGCTGCTTGCAGACAGGCGAGCTCTTCCTTCCGCGTGAGACAGGGGTCGAGCTGGGGGCGGTGTTCGACCGTGCTCTGGGTGCGAGAGGGACCTGGTCTGGTCATCTGAACAGATCGAATAGAAGGATGGCAAGAGAGACCCGGTCCGGTCCCAGTCCAAGCTCAGGCTCTTCTTGTCATGTGTGTGCATGACATGCTTCACCTGTGAGTCTTCTTGGGGTCGTTGACGAATTCCTTGGGTTCTACAGAGGGGGTTGTGGGAAGGAGGCGGTGCAAACAAATACAAAGAGTTGCTGCTTGACGTGAAATCAAGAGAATCCCTTGATAATCCCGCCTTCCCGCGGCCATTCAGACTCCAAATCCACTATACCTACTAAACCAAGGGCTTTAGGCAACAGGACATGCTAGCTTCATTTAAGCTTTGTCGCTTTGTCGGGGCTCTTTCGTTGCGACCCTCAGGTCGGGATCTCTTGCTCAGCAACGAGGTGCGACAGCGGCTGTCCAAGCTCCGCTCGGCGCTGCCCAGCGCCGTGGCACAAGGCTTGGGGAATCAGGCGGGGAGACAGTCTCGAAATTGGACCAAGGTGAACGACATGGTTGACTTTCTTTCCTTGCAAAGTTGACTGTTGACATGCTCGGGGCTTGGGGAATCTCGATCAATCCTTTGAGCAGGTCATGGAGAAGCTCATTGAGCTCATTGACCAGGAGCTTGAGGGCAATGCTGCGGCGAAAACCTATGCCTATCACATGGGCTTCCAGCTCATGAAGGACGTAGATCCTTCAAAGGCTCTCTCCTATGCAAAGGAGGCCCTTGAAGAGTCCAAGGTGTCGGAAGGCCCTGAATCCTGGGTCAGCCAGATGTTGCAGAGTGTCATCGCAGAAGAAAAGCCGGCAGCGCCAAGGTCAGCTTTTCGAGAGGTCGCAAGCTGCAAAGAAAAGGTCCAGTTCCCAACGCGGCCTGAGAGGGATTGGGTTTTTCAAGATCCCCATCTCCGAAACTTCCGCCGCCCTTGGCATTCTTTTTCCGGAACCATGGCCCCTTTCTTGTGAAACCCGCCCTCCTGCTTCGGGTGTCCCCCTCCTCCCTGGACCACCACCACAACACGCCTCGCCTCCGTGCCACGCCGCGCTCCGAAACGCCGCGCGTCGCGTCGCGTCGCGTCGACGCGGCGTTCGTCGAACGGGGGGCCACGCGACGCATCACGACGCGACGCATGGCGCCGAGGGAAGAAGTGGCTCATCGACCTGACGGGCGCCCTGGTCTCGACCGGGCGGACCAGCTTCGCCGCCAGCCGCAGCGAGGCGTGGCGAAGGGTCCGGTGCAGAGGAGCCACGGCTCGGTGCAGAGCCACGGTGCGAGGTGGGAAGTGGCACACACTTTGGGTGGGGATTTGGTGGGTTGGAGGGTCGTACATGTGAGGAGCTTGGCTGGGATGAGTAATCTTGGAAGGTTTGGACATTGAAGTTCACACTGCGGAACTGCTTCCATGTAAGGAAACTCTGGTGATTAAACCTCTTGGTTCAGGGGTCTCCCTGTTCGAATCCATCACAGCTGTGGCTGCGGTGGTGTTGCCCGGTCCAGGTGAATATTCATGGCGTTCAGGACCGGGTGTCGTGAGAGGGAGCTGATTGGAGACTTGGATCTGTGAGCACCAGCAATAACACTCAGGAAGAGCTGGAATGATGGCCCCTTCTGGTACTCAGTTCATATCAGTTCTATGGTGGCACAGGCGGGTCCGAAGCGACACTGGCGACACTGGGTCCCTTGTGTCGCCCTCGCAGGATTGTGTGGAGTATGCAGCAGAAATTTGCTGCCGCAATGCCGAGGCCTTTGATCCGAGGGGGCTCCTCCGGGGTGGTGGGTCCGAGGGGCTCTAATTCAAGCCTCATGAGCCACGGAAGCGGCCATCTTCCAGAGGTGAACACCACCCCTGTACCTTCCAGTCGTACCTTCTCAGAAGGTGCTTGGATCTCCTGGCACCTACATGACAGATGCATGACAGTCTTTCTGAGGTTCGGTACGACTGGATCCGACCGTCAGCTTTCTGTTCGCACTCGTGGCTCGCGTTTGGGATTTGGAGGATCCAGAGGGGTCGGCCGCAACCGGGGGGTTTGGGCCGAAACCTAAGGAGTAGACGGGCCGGCCGAAACCAGGCGTGCCAAACGACAGCGAGAGCCGACAGCGAAACGACGTCCGTTTCCGACAGCGAAAACCGAAGAACGGCACTTTGTTTCCAATCCTCAGAAGGGGTGCCGCAGCCAAGCCGTTCCTTCAAAGCATCCATGCGTCGCGACAGCGATGCGGGCAGCGGACCAGCGGACTTCGCAGGGCTTTGGAGAATACTCGATGGCCAGCGACAGTGTGGCCAACATTGATGCCAAGGTGGGTTTGAGCCTTTCAATCTCTATTCTGACATGGTATTTTGACACGGTATTTCAAGAGCTGCATGATCAAGAGTTTCATTTGGCCACGAAGGTTTATGTGGCTCACTACTCATATCCAGTACATCTATATAGATGATTTTCATTGACTTTTGCATTTGAGAGCTATGATTTTCGCTATATTGATGTTTCAAAGTTTGCGATCAGGATGTGACCGGATCCATTTTCGGACTGATCAACCTACCGTGTGACCTCTTGGATTTGCTTTTTGGAAAGTATTCATCACACTCTTCTTACGAACCTATTCTATGTACCACCTCTGACTCAGTTGATGCTCTTGGATCAGGTCGAAATTGACAGCACATCATAGCACCGGGTAATCCGTGGAAATGCGCGAAGCAACTGAGCACAGCTCCTGACATTTTGGCAAGAAAAGAGTTAAAAAGACCAAAGTTTGGGGCCGTGTTTTCTCACTCTTTCATACTTTTTGGTCCAAACCCATCCACCCTTCTGAGCAGTTCTCGGCCCAATAACCCATCGCCGTTTGACCGACCTTCGGCTCTCAGGGGCAGATTGGTGGCATGCAACTAGTGATCCACGAGGGCGCATCCGATGTGCCTCGGTTGAAAGCCGGTTCACCGGAGGTTCCGGTTTTCGCCGATGTGGACGGGTTCCCGGTGTTTGGTGCGGCCCACATCGTGGACGGCGCGGCCAGATGTGGACGGCGGTCGGTTCCCCCTTTTTTCTAATTGGACATTTCATATGGAAGACCTCATTTTTCGTCCACGGTGAGGTGTCTCCTTCAGCCAGGGGGGCGAACTCTCTGGTTTGGGGACGAACTCTCTGGATTCACGCTGGCTGAGGTTCCGGTCATGGTCCCCCAGGGAGATGGCAAGATGAAGGTGCCTTCGTCCGTCGCGCGTGCGTGGTCATTGGGACCACGTGACTCTGCAGATCCTTTCCACTTGCTTCGCCTGATGTTTGCGTTGTTGCGAGTCGTCTTCTGGTGGTTCTTCATCGAGACCGTCCGAGACCGGTGGTGGTTTGCAGGTCAGATGGACCCTGCCAGAAGAGGCCAAGCAGACGATTGTAAAGCTCCTTGGTGTCTGGTACCGGACGGAAAGCTGTTGTGAGCACCCCGCAGCCGTTCGCAGGACTGATCGCAAATCCGTGCTCCAAAACCAACAGTGAAAGCATGCTTTGGTGCACGGGCCCCCTGGTTGGTTGGAGAAACATCCTCTTTCACTTTGGTAGGACATATAGAGCGTAAGACCGGCTCGCGGCACCAGCAGATGGTGGACGAAGGTTCGGAGGAACTCCCAGACGGGGTCTCCCAACTTCTTGGTGTTTGGTACTATAGACCCTTTTTCTATAAACCTGTATAAACCCCTCCCAAACACCTTCTCAGGAGCCCTAGGGCCTATAGGGCATGTCTTATTTTTAATCTTGCCTTCAGAGGCCCATTGGTTTATAACCAACTTGGGAGAGTCGGCCGAACTCAACTCAGCTCAGCACTTCAAGTCCACCAGCTACACTCCTCAGGTCCATCATAACGGGAGCGGAACCACCTGCTTCTAGAGGACCATCTTGTACTCAATTAGTAGTCGATGGTGCCGTCAACCACTCACTCAATCAAGGACAACTTCATGGCCACTGTCTCGTGATATGCGGTGATTGCTGAAGCACACTCGAAGAAGCTGACATGTGGTGCTTGGGGCAAGCGAACAAACAGTATTCTTGGTTTGCTGAAAAAAGATCGACAATACCGCATGTTGGGGCAAGCAATCACAAGCAAAACCCAAACAGTATTCTTGATTTCCTCCATGTGGTGCTTGGGGCAAGCCAGAACGTGGGTCAGGGAGTGGGCGGTGCCACTTTGTCGCCCAGGCTTCGCAGAGTAGGCAACCAGAACTGGTACCTTTGTCCGAGCCCTGGTTGGCAGCAAGCCAGAGGGGCTTGGCAATGGCCTGAGTCTGCGCTAAATCGAGCGCAGAGGGGATCCCTACAACCAACGAGTGAGCTCATCAATCGCTTCATTGATGAGCAAGTTGATTGGGTGAGGGGACCGCTCTTCATTTGATGGGTGTTCACACCGACCCGGGGGACTCTCTTGGACGATCGATTCTCGCCCCACCCGGCGCCTGGGGCGCGCCCCGCGGGCCGGGGGGTAGCAGTGGGTGCGCCATCTGGGGCGCTTTCTGGGGAAGTCTACCCGGTCGACCCACAAAGGCGTTTTGGGGTCTTCCCATTGCCTTGGCACTGGCCAGGCACAGACGTTTGAGGGTTTCCTTTCTTGACGCAGGCACGGGCGGCGCCATCGCCGCGCCGGCCACGGAGACGCTGGCCACGGGCTTGGAGGAGGGCATCGAATACGAGGCGAAGACGAGGGGCCGGGGGTTGTTGGGGACAAGGTAGGTATGTTATTTTTTCTGCTCAACAAGAATTGGTTTGGCTGTGGTGGTCTCATATTACGATCGCTTTGGTGATGAGTGTCATTTTGGTCTTTTGGTCCAGCCAATGTTGATGACAAACAGGCATAGCTTCTTTTGCTTGTAGTAGTTGTGGATTGGAGCCCAGGCCTCTTTGGACTCGACCAAAACCCCCTCCATCCAAGACCTCGGGTCGCTGCCCTGGCTTCGCCGGCGCGCCATGGTGGCAGGCCATGGTCTCCTTCTTTATCAACAACCGGTGGTGTTGCGAGTCGCCGATCAGCAAGCCAGCTTGCATAGGCGCTAGACGCGACGCGACGCGGACGGCCTAATTCACCGGCCTTTTGCCGGGCCGGTCGGCCGGAGGTCAGTCGCACCAGTCCTGACACCACCGCGCGCCGCAGGCGAGCTGAAGCTGCCAGCGCCTCCCACACAGCCCAAGGACGTTCACCTTCCCAGTGTGCCATGGGTTTTCTCGAAGCTGCTGTGGGTCATGGCTATGCCGCGGATGCGACAGGTTTCGACAGCAGAGGTGGCGACAGCACGAAGTTTGCTGCCAACAAATACGGACTGAAATTCATCTTTGGCCATGGACGTTTGAAGGAGTGATGTGTACCAGGATTGATATTATATCATCCAATTAGAAGTTCCCTTCCCCGCCTGCCGGCACATAGGGTCTCTCTTGGTCACAAAGAAGCCTCTCCAAAAGCCCAAGCCGCTTGGGTTTCAACTTGAGATGCGACCTCGGACAACCACTTTCAGGAGCCTCGGCTCTACGTGATGGACGTGAGCCAAGGCATGGTGGGGGGTGGATTTGATGTGCAATGATTGGTGGTCTCCAAGCATGAGGTGGTCCACAGGCTTGAGATGAGTGACCTTCCCGAGCTTCCCGGAAGACCCAAAACCAAAGAGCTAACGAACAGTCTGTTGTATATACGTATAACAATATATTTTTGATATTGAAGCCTCGATCTCTTCGACCAGCTGGAGGCTTTCGAAACCTTGAACAGTCAGTTTTGGAGTTTACATACCAGGACCCTCCAAGGGGTGCCCAATGGAAGCCTATAGCTAGTGTGAGGTAGTCCATTGGACCCCCCTTGCAGGGTCCAGGTATAGATCCTCTGTTTCCACTGGATTCTGCGCGCAGATGCTGCTAGGCATCATGAGAGTGAGGTGGCAGTACTTCTCTTGCGTGCGCCCGGCAGAGGGTTTGTCCTGCAGAGCCCTGGAATTGGGCTGGAAAGCAATGGAATGGGGGAGGTCTTGGAACAACTTGGGGATCTCAGAAAGGCTGCAGAGCCGTGTTCTCTGCCAGTCTATGCAGCTGGTTGAATGAAACTAATCGATAGTTCTTTTGGGGAGGATCACTTTCACTTTCAACCCTCCAGAAGAAGGGCTGTTTGTCCAGTCCCTTCAAGACTTTGGGATGGGATCGTGCCCTTTGCGGAACTGTTCCGCTCGCCAGCTCTCAGAAGACGTTCTGTGATTCCACTTTTGGTCTCTGCTCCTTGAAATTCGGTGGGCTGGGCCTCCCACATCACTCTGGTCCAAGATCCACAAATCCACCTCGGTCCCAGTCCCCAGCCCCCCCTAAGCCCCCGCCCCCAGCTCACCCCGCCCCCAGCCCCGCCCCCAGCTCCCCTTTCGGATCTCCTTTTCGCTTCGCACCGCCACCAGAGACCCGGCTTTCTCGAGCGGAGGGAGCTCCGTCTTCCCGAGGTCCCGCCCCTGAGCGGCGCGCTGGTGCGTTTCCGCGCCGTGGGCGCCCGGAAGTGGCTCTTCGCCGGGGCCCTGACGTGGACTCGGTCCGGGTGCAACACGTTTTGGGGACGACTACGGTTGTTTTGTTGGGGACGACCGGGGAGGGGTGTTTTCGATGTTTGTTTTCTTTTCGGTGGTTGGTGTAAGGCGTAAGAGATGGATGAAGGGTATTGGGGAGTGGTGGAAACTCAATTTGAACGATGGATGGCTAGAGATATGAGATATGTCATTGTTTTCTTGGGGAAGCAGAGTTGGGAGGGCTTTTCACTTCTTTGGAAGGTTCTGCAGTGACTGCCTCTTGAGGCACATCCCAGCAGCGGAGCGCTCATTGATGTCTCTCCTGAAAAGGTGCGGCCTGATCTGAGAAAAGCGGGATAGAGAAGCAAGAAGATCCAAGATGGAAGCTAGATTGTTGACCTTTGAGTCTATTCTGAGTGGTTGTACAGTGAAGAAGCAGCACGATACCTTCCAAACAACCAGAATTCCGCCCAAAACAGGCCATTGAGGAAGACCAGATTTGAAAGAACACCCACCGCCGTTGTCCTCCTTTTCACCACTCCAACCGGTGGACATCGGTCACGGTCCGGTCGGGCCTCGACCGGTCCCTGGGTCAGGAGCCGGATCTCATCCCATTTCCACAGACCGAAGTCGATGTGCAGGGGCCCCAGACCAAAGTTGGTCAGCCTGGTCCTCTGTTGGTGGTCAGAAGGCATGTTCCGTGGCTGAAGCCCAAGATCATGCAGGGTAGGTGAGAAGGAACTTTTTGAGTTCAGTTTCTGTTTGGAATGAGGGCTTTGAACAAGCTGTCCTTGAGGCAGCACAGCACAGGTGGACCCAAGGAAAACCTTTCCCAGCGATGCGTCGAATGCCTGATCTCAGGACACCTAGAAGCCACTCTCGGGAGGATGGCGCCGTGCCACCCAGGCTTAAGAGGTGACGAAAAGGCTTCCGATGGCACTCTTACCCCGTCTGAGCTTGGTTTTGTTGAGCGCTTTTGATGGAAGTTCTACCCCCCCAAAAAAGGTGGTTTTGATGGTGGGTGCCCAATCTACGTCCAAAACCATCCCTTTTCAATCACCGGTCTTTCAACCTCTTGCGCATGGGACACGACGGCCGAGGCGAGGGCTTCCCCTCGGCATCCGCTTCGAGGCCTGCGTGGCTTTCAGGCCGGACCGCGAAATGAGTCGCGACCTGGACTGTAAGACATTTTAAGCCTGGACTGAAAGACATGGTAAGCCTGGACATGAAAATCCCAGGGGCTTTTTTGCATGGAAGTGCCCAACACACAGAACCTCATTGGGCGCTTGAGGTGAGGTATTTGTCTGCAGAATTGGGTCAGAACACGGGAAACTGCTTTTGGCAAGTGGACACATGACCAGGCTTGCACAAAGTAGAGATCAGACAGCGGAGCATGCCACATTGACTTGTGGTTGAGTATGGGGGATGAAATCATTTCTTTGAAAAGACTCCTGGCTTCAAAAGAATGTGGACACTTGGTAGTGATGCCCTTCACTTGTCACGAAGAGTGTCGAAGCTGTTTCAAGCACAGAGTAATTATATACATTGAATGCAACAAAACAGCAAATATACATATAAATATACTGCACTCCACCTCAGACCTCAGACACATCTTTGGACAACATGTTTTACCGCTTTTCTCATCATCTTTACTTCTTCGTTCCTCCCTCTTCCCATGGCGCTGCGCCGTGCGGCGCGCGTCGCTACGCTGCTCCTCTGCTCTGTGGCCGCCGCAGAGCGCAGCGTGTCGATCGGCTTTGCCGGGCGGACGGACGTGGTGCCCGATGGCTACGCGCCGCTGCTGGCGGAGATCCAGGCGGCTGGAGAAGCGGTAGGGCTTCAGTTGCACTTCGTGGACCTGGAAGATGAGGTGGGATGGTGGAAGGGAAGGGCAACGGGTGGTTGGAAGGGGAAGGGAGGGTGGAGTGCAGGGAAGTGTTTCGACTGATAGGGAGGGGGGATAAGAAGGGAGAAGAGATGAGAACGGGGGAGATGAGTGGATGTTGAAGGTGGAGTTGTGAAGCACCTCTTGACAAATCATGAAATGCGCTTAAAGTCTTCAAAGCTCCGTCCTACACACAGACGTTGACACGCCTGCTCAGTCTGCCTCGATCTACATGGGCCACGGGATGGGCGCCAATGGTGGAGCATCGAAAGCGCAAGAAGTGGCTGCTGCAAGAAAAGGTGGGGACTTGGGCATGGGTCTCCCCGCACGAAGGGTATCCGGCACCCGTGGTTCTTTATGCCCTGATTGATATACTTTTTTTTTTTTTTTTTTTCCGAAGATCAAGCAGAGGGGTTACCAAGTTACCACTTCCATGAAACATGAGTCAGAATGTCATTCATTCCTGCGAGTGTCCTTGGTGTCACTCCAAATGGCATAGCTCAAGAAAAACGACAACAAAGACCAAAGACGACCCAGACAACTCTGTGAAATTGACCATGTTTCCCTTTCAAATCTTTGGAAGCCCGGCCCGGAGGCCTCGTTCTTCAGCACAGATAGACGAAGCATTCAATGGGAAACTTGGTTGGTGCGGTGTTCTCGACTGAAACCGAACACGATGAAACCAATCGAGTGGTTCAGCCAGGGTCTTCCAGATGGCCAAGGCCTAGTTGAGTGATTGGCCACTAAGAAGGCTTCCAAACGATCTCTGGGTCACGGATGCCCCCCAAAAACCCAAAGCTGTACCACCTGGGCTAGCAACCGAAGGGCTGGTGCCTGAGCTACCACCTGGGCTAGCACTACCTGGGTTACCTCAGCAAACCGGTGCAGGGGACGGCTTGATCCTCTTGGCGGGCTTCTTGGAACGCCGCTGGCGCCCAAGTCTGGTGGCCTGTGCCAAGACCTGGGAGAAGCAGCCCAGCGTGAGGTGTCCCAAGGGCTTTTGCCCGGGCGGGTATTTACAGGACTGATGCTCTTCTTCGGAGATGTCGAAGCAACAGGTTGGTGGTTTTTGAGTGGGTTGGAGAAGCTGCTGTGGTACCACGCGGCTGTCCCAGCGGTCCGAGCGACGGCCGTCCGAGCGCGTGTGCCCGCCAGGATGGGGTTCACGACTGCCGCTCGGAGGAAGCGATCCCCACACCCAGCTACCCGGTGCCCTCGCTGAGCGTGGGTGGTGAGATGGACGGAGTGGTGCGAGTCTCCCGGATGGCGGAAGCCTGGTACACCCAACAAGCTGTGCCGCAACACGTGGTGAAACTGGTGCCAGGCGCCAACCGGGCATTTTGGCCACGTGTTGTGAGTGTTGGTGCCTTTCTTTTGGAGCATCCAAGCAACGGCACCTACCAGAGGTTCGTTTGATGGTTCAAACTTCTTGAACATCGGGTTTTCGAACTTTTGAGGGAAACAACTACCTGACGCAACCCCCCATATCTCGCCCTACCCAAAACCCAACCAACGCCCAGTCTTACCACCGGACCTACCCGCAGGGATGAGCCACTCGGACCTCGTGGTGGGCGACGCCCTGCCGGCCACGTTGGCGGCGCTGGACCTGCCCAGCACCTGTGGGGGCTTGGCGGCGCGCTCCGCGGTGGCGCAGCTGGTGGTGAGCTTCGTGGCGAAGAAGGTGGCCGAAGGACAGCGGGTGGTGAGCTTTCCGGGTGCTTTTGGTGAGCGGAAGTTGGACTCCGGGAGTTTGGCAGGTTCCTTTTTGGGGGTTTTGACACTCTTTGGGCACGGATTGGAAGGCGGATTTTTTTTGGGTGCTGTTCCACCAAAGTCGGGACTTGCCCATTGCCGAGCTCGGCGGCTGGGAGGTTCGGTCGCGGCTTTTGTTCTTCGTTTCAGCTGCCCTTCCCTGCAAGGCAGCTACGAGGCTGACTTCTTCAAGCCCTTTGTGCCCTGTCAAGCGTCCATTTTCACGCCCCCCGTCCCTCGTGGAGGGCACTCACCGTTCCGCGCCCCGCGCGGGTTCCACGGCCCCCGAACCGCGCCGACGGGTCGGTCGATTCCGTTTCGATCGGTTGGTCGGTCGGTCGCGACCATGGGTGGGTCGGTCATGACCGGAGGCGGCCACGAAAGCACTTCGGCCAGGAAAGCGACACGTCACCAGCTGTTCATCCATCTTCAGAGTGAAAGATGTTTGCCCAGAATTGTGCACGGTTTCCCAGGTGTTTCGGGAAGAGGTGCGCAAGCAATGTTCTGCAGATGTTACTGAAAGATGGCCAAGTCAAGAAGATCTCAAGGTAAACATCCTGGAAGATCCGGTTTGTCTTTATGGGGGAACCGGTCAACCGGTCAACCGGTCTGCTCTCCCTTGAACATCTGAGGTGCAGATGTTTGTGGAAGAGGAGGGCAGTTGGTGGTGGACCTCCAACAGCGATGAGAATGGATCCAGTGGCTGGGCTGCTCGTGCACAGGAGCGGCTTTTGGATCCGCTGCCGGAGGATGTGACCTATGGCACGGCGGCGGATGAGTTCCATCTCCTGAGTGATGAGGAGTTGATTCCGCCCTACTACAGAACTAGGCCGGGCACGTGTGATCCGATTCTCGTCTTGTTCTTGAGAGGATGCTGTGATGGCTTGGAATGCGAATGCTGGAATGTTGATGGGCCACTAGTGGGGCCGCTGCCGACGATTGGATCCTTTAAGCCCTCGAGGCTTTTGTTGGCGAACGGTTGCATAGTTCACCTGTTGATGATCCTTCAATATTGAAGCAACGCACATTTTTAGAATGCACAAAGTGCCTATAGGACCTAGAACATCCTAGAACATGAACTTATGAACCCATAGATAGAGGGAGACACCACTGTTCTCTGACATACTTCCTCACAACTGCCTGCCAAACCACTCTTCCTCGCCATTTGCCGACCTGAACACTTTGATCAGTCGAAGCACCCGACGGTCTCGCCGGTCTCGCCGGTATCGCATCGCTCCCATCCGGCGGATCACCACAGGCACCGTCCGAAGCTCACCGTGACGTCCGGCGGCATGCACCTCAGCAGTTCCACAGTGACGCAGCTGCGCTACGTGGAGATCTCCGTGCTGCAAGCGGCGGCCGGGCTGAATGGTTGGGCCGTGATCAAGGAAGAGAAGGCGGGGGTTTCTGCCTGGTGCACAGGGGGTTTCTGTCTCATCGGAAGACCATCGAGATCCATCCTTCGGTCCTTCACTTGACGTTCCGCAGCTCCGCACGTTGAAAGCGCCACCTGGTCACCAAGGCGGGCGTCCTGGCGGATCACAAGCTGCACCTGGTGGACGACGGCCTGGGCTTCGTGTCGGCACGGGAGATTGCCACCAAGTTGGCCAGCAGGGAGATGGCTTGGAAGGCCCGAACGAGTCTGGGCCGGCCGTTTTGAAAGGTTCAGGGGGATGAGAGATGAGAGATGAGGGGGAGTTGGAGGGGGAGGGGTCGTGTCATGAGTGGCAGGAAATGGTGTTAGGCTGTGGAATGAAGTGATACCAGAGGCTGCCAAACTTCGCACTCTGCAAGTTGGCAGAAGCATCCCCGCAACGAAAACGACGCTTCGGTCGAAACCGACAACGAAAACGACGCTTCGGTCGAAACCGACACATCGGTTTCTCTCTCACATTTTCTCCGACGCCGACGGGCCAGGTGTGTGGCAAAGCCAGCTCACCCGAACTCGACGATGGAGATCGATGCAAAAAGATCAACGAGGAGTGCATGGATTCCACTTTTCTTTTGAACGAACTTGCTCTATTCCAAAGCTTCCCAAAGGATTGGACCCTCGTTTGCCTGCTTTTGTGCGTTTCGACTTTGGCCTTCTCTCCAAGTCAGTGAACTTCCGTCTTTACTCCAAGAGGTACCCAAAAAACTCCACGTTTTCGGCTTCAAACACCACCAGCTCCCGGCCACCTGGTCTTCCCGTGCTCGCCGCCCGCCCACGCCACCCACAACGCCGAAAGGATGCCTATCGCCGAGCGCTGAACGTGTCCTCCGCCGACGCGCGGCAGCGGTTCCTGAGTGCTCAGAGGCCGTTGAAGATGATGGCGGACCGGAAGCCGACGCCGCCTGCGGGGCCTTGGTGGATTTGGAACTACTTGGACTTTAAGGATACAGGCGATGGCCGGCGATGGGTGGGCAGGTGAATGGTTTGGAGCCAAGGCTGTTCTTTGGTGTGTCCTTTTCTGCGGCAGGTGAATGGAGGCCCTGGAGATCTGTCAGAAGATAGATCTGTCTGGTTTAGGGATCGGCTGTCTGACATGGAAATCGTAACCCAAGTTCATAAGCTGTTTATCATCTTGGATGAGATGGTTGGAGATGAGTCGACAACTACCATAGGATCTGAGTCGGTGGGTCGTCACTGGGGGACCCACACTGGGTGGAGTGGGCGATCATCCAAGCAGCTGACCAGGTGTTGGGGAGCCCAATGAACTTCCAGGTGTTGGGGTGTTTCCAAGTCGCTGACACCAAAACGAAGTGGCACGAGGGAACGAAACGCAGTGGTATGAGATAGAAATAGAAGCTCAGAGATTCAATGTCATTACCTCCTGGGCGGGCGGGAGAGGTCGTGACGTGGAGATTACCTCGTGGTACGCCTTCTATCCGCTCTCGGGCCCCGCCTATGGCGCTGGGAACCACTACTGCAAGCTCTTGTCGCCCGCGCGGGCCTTGGAGTGGATCTACATCGATAGCCTTCGTCCCCAGCCCCATGGAGCGAAGCTGTCGCTGGTGGTGTAGGTTTTAGGGGAGCCCTGGCCGTGGAGCCGCTGGGAGAAGGGAAGGTGGCAGAAGCTGACCGAAGATCTCCGGATAAATACCCTCCTTGGAACTCTTGATACAAAGTTGAAAGACCAAAACTGCAGAGAAACAAGCACGATTCACATGTCAGCCAAGGGTTTTGAGGGGGTTATAGTGTCCTGAGTGTGTAGACTCTGAAGACATACTGAGTACAGAATGGCACAATGCCATGCATTAGCTTCAGTGATGGCTGCATCAACAGATCTTATTTTGCCAGTCTCACTCCAGCTCACTGAGAGGGTGTTGTTGGACATTTCCTCACAGCGAGCGGCGAGCCTTTGAACCTGCGGAAAATGACGACTGCTATAGCTGACAACCGATGCAGAGACATATAGCTATAGCTGACAACCCCGGCTTCTGCAGGTGTAAGACCCAGTGAATGACTTTGGGTTCGACACCAGAGTGGTCCTGTGCTGTTCTTCTTCTTCTTCTTTTTCTTCTTCTTGTGGTGGGATTCTCTGATGGTCATTCGAGGGAGCGCTTTGGTGTTTCCTCCCCTTCCACTGAGCAAACATCGAAACATGTCAACCCAGGGCTTGTAACCAGAATGATGCATTCCTCTATGGTGAACCAGATCAAGAAAATACATACATACCCCAAACGAAGTCTTAAACATAGTCTCACGACATGTCTCAGTTTTTTTCTCTTAGTCGCAACTCTTCCGGTCGAAGTTGTTCGCTCGCCAGGAACAAGCTGGGCACCGGGCCCTTCTCGAAAGAGAGCGAGATTGGACACATTGGGATGTTGGCCGCCCGAATGCTGAAATGCACGTGCTCCCCCTCAGGGGTGAAAACGGTGCACATTCTGTCAGGATGCTCTGAGATTTCTGAGATTCTTGATATCTCAATATCTCATGGATATCTCACGGCTTTCTTTTTCTTCTTTTGGAGTGTTCCGGTCCTTCTGCCCTTGTGGGAAGAATCGAAGTTGCAGCGAAACCGCCGCTGCACGCTTTTGGCGCTGAGGTACTGTTTCCAGGACTTTGACCTGCAAACAGCTGAATACACCCGGGCGCTTGAGAATTTTTGGTGCCCCTTATGCCGCTTCAGGTGCTCGGTTATGGGAACAGATGGGAAGTGGCCCAGACATGGATCCTTTGATGGCCTTTTACATCCTTATGGGTATCTCTCCAGGACATCATTGCATTGATCCTTTTTTGGAGCGGAGGTAGCTGACAGTTGTGCTTTTATGCTTTTATTAGACTGAATGTGGCGGCTTGCAGTGTTTTCGGTATGGCCCTGCCATCCATCAATCCTGAAAACCACAGAGAAGCATCGGGTTCATCCTCACTGACAGCGGGGGTTGTGAGGCACCTGAGCAACATGCACATGCCTAGCATGTAGATCCAAACTCAGTAACGTCAGGCGCTCAAATCCAAGTGGATCTCAAGTCCACCTCTTGTTGGAACGTTGCGCTCAGATCCTGATCCGCTGTGGTTGGGTCCGGTTCTCATCCACCCAAAGGTCTGACCTGACCCCCAGTAGTTCCCAGACCGACCCTCCAGCTTTGAAGTATGTTGGAGTCCCGTTTTCCACCTGCTTTGCGGTCAGCCGCCATCGTTTCTGCCTGGAATTCCGTCCAGGCACCTGGACCCCTTCAATGCCATCGTGGAGCAATCAGGCCGTGCCGACCCCCCATCTGGAGCACCCGGTAGAGCACCGGGGAACATGGGCAAACGACTTTCGGAGGAACTGCGCTGGTGGTGGGTTTGCTGGGGCAGCCCTTGACGTTTATATACCCTAGGGCTCCAAGTACCTTCTTAGAAGGTGTTTGGGGAGGGTTTAGGGGGTCCAAATACCTTCTGAGGAGGTACTTGGAGCCCTTGACCTTTAGAGATGTGTCAATCACAGACCACGTTTATTTTATTTTTCCTCTAGAGCCTTAGAGGTTTCATTTTTCCTTTGGGGGGTCTTGCGTCACCCACCTCGTGGGGACTCCGGGATCCCCAATCGCCGCTTCGCCGTTCCGGACCGTTTTTCCGGCCGTTCCGGTGCCAGGTATCCTCAGACATCACATGTTCATGCGGCCGAGCGTCTCCTTCAACCTCGACCTGCCGGAACTCAAGTGCGCCACTGAGTGTCCAGCCACTGGATCACTGGTGAGGGTGTTGAGAGGGAGCCTGGAGTTCTTTGGTGTGCCCCGGAAAAAGCGGTGAGGCTGCCTAAGAGCTGCTTTGGTCCTTCAAAACAATGGGTGCTTTCCTTTGCTTTCATGCTTTCGAGCATAAACCTTGAGCCCTTATGGCTGTATTGTCCTTGTTGCGTGAACTTTCTTGATCTAGATTCACGTGCCCTACATTCCAAGTCTTCATTCACCGGTGAGGAACTTCATTCCTCCAAGTCTTCAAGAGAAAGCCATGGTCCGTGGTCCACGGCCCGTCGCAGGGCATGGCGCAAGGAGGATCAAAGTATCTTCGCGAGGTCCCGCTTTGGAGCTGGCAGAGCCGTTCGGCTCGGGCGGAGATATTTTTGTTCAAAGGATGCAGGTCTTGCGGTCGTTGGGTGCGGGCGTATAGCAGATGGAGGTGATGCATGAGAGTTTCAAGGTTTTTGGCTGACCCACGATGAGGCTGGAAGGGCTGGGAAGCCTAAACATCCAATGGCAAAAGCACTCCAGAAACCAGACCTGACATCCACTGATCAGATCCATTTAGGTCATATGAAGCGTGCTACTGAAGTTCATGTGTATACTGTATACATAGTTCTTGTATTTCTGGTCCGCTCAGGTGGATGTTCTTCCGTGCTCGGTCCACCCCAACATACCGGTGGCAGTCCGCGAGAGAGTCCAACCTAAATAGGATGCCCCACATACCAAGGGGTTTTGGTGGTCGATTTTCTTTCTTCGTGTGAGGAACTTGCAATGGATGGTGTGATGTTTTTCGGCTTTCGGTTTTCAGTGGTCGGTTTTCAATCGCTTCTTAGGCCATCCGTTCGCTTCTTAGGCCATGTGTGGTTTCGTCTCAAAACCGCAGCTCACCACACAACGCAAACCCCAAAAACGCTGATGCCCAACACATCGCAAAGCCCATCCGCTGGGGGTTGGCGTTTGGTTGGAGATTGGTGGTCCAAATCAGTCTGCCAGGTGTATCAAGGTGAATAGCGACATCACGGCGCAGGCGAGTTCGGGTGCCGCCAAGGCTCTCGCTTTTTGGGGGGTTCGATGAGGTACTGAAGCCAAGTGGAGACTGATTGAGCCAATGAAGATAGTAGATGGCAATAGTATGACACACAAAACCGTGTTATTTAGTTGTTTATGTATTCTATTCGGTTATTTTGCGTGTTAAACATGTTTTGCATGCTTTTGCGGTGCCAACAACAAAGAGCTATGACTCTTGGGTGGTGGTTTCTCCAAGGCCCATGAAGAACCACTGTTCTTCTTTTAAAGGATGGATTCATGGCGCCCCATGGGGCGTCACGGTGCTCGGCCCGAGCGCCCTCCAGGTTTGGCCTACCAAGCTCATCGTGGTGATCAACGGTGCGGAGGTGTCGATCGTGGCGCCGTCTCCGTCACAGCTAGCTTTACCTTAGGCAATGATCCTCAAAGATGTCAGAGACGTCACCCAAAATGAGCATGTCCTCAGATGGCCCTTTTGAAGGAAGGAGTTGTTCCTTTTTCGGCCAGCGGCAAAAGGAGGTCCTCGGCCTCACAGAACGGTGCGCGTCGTGCACGCCTGGCGCGGCAGCTGCGCGGTGGAGGTCTTTCGAATAGAACCTCCGGAAGAAGGCCATGTACGACGAGACGCCCGGAGCCCCAAGGGCGCCAGGCCCAGTGGATCCACCGTGCCTTCCTAGGTGGATGCAGATGAGGCGGAAGATCGGGATCGGATCAGAGGCCAACATGGGCAGGTTCCCAAAGGGTGAGGAGGGGAATGGAATGCCCTTGAACCGGCCTTTGCACAAAAGTGGCGCAAGAAAAACGGCATGTCTGGCGGCTTCAAAGGAGAGGTATGCTGCAACCAAAACGAGCGCACAACATCAATTGCAAGAGTTGGGAGTGATGTTCCACTCCTGTTTTGTGGTCGAGTTGTTTTGATCCATGCCTTTCACTGAATCTGGCTCACATCTGACCTCCAGGATGCTGAATTTGCCCGGTCATGGCGACGACCTCATGAAGAGGGCACTTTCCGGGGATCTGGCTGTGAATCGCAAGAGAACAGGGAAATCCCCCTTTTTTGGGTCATTGCAGCGTGAAATATCTATCTCAGTTGCCATGAGCTCCTTGACATAAGTCTCCTGTGGTAATGCACTTCAGTAACAAACATTCCCAGTGCAAGTGCAAACTGTTTGAGAAGAGAATCAGTCAGTCTAAACACCCAGCAGTCTTCGGGGGCATGTTTTGTTTCCATTCATGACCTGTAGCAGGATCCTGAATGATTGTCATGTTTGGCATTGTTCGTAGTCTGCAAGTCTGCACACTGGTCCGCACGCCTTCTTCCGTCCGAACGGCGCTGTCCTGCTGTCAGATGCCCCCCCGCTCAGATCCCGAAGCTGAAGAACCACACGCGGAGGTCCTTCGCTCGCATCGAAGAAGGCCCAAGAGGTGCAGCTGCAGTGCAAATCGGTCCACACGGCCGCAGAACCAGCAGCCCTGCGGAGTAACATGGACCCGGAAGATTCTTTGACATAGACGACATCACCAAATTTATATATCCTGTGATGTTTCTCTGGTTCGAAACAGGGTCCCCCACAGAGATTTCATGGACGCCAAAAAAGAGATTGAAGGGGAAAATCACGTGGAGATTGTTGGGGGGACAGGGGGGGTCCATGTTACTCTGCAGGGAGGTGGGGCCGAAGATCCTGCGCCGATCAGATCTCGTGGCTGCCCTGTAGCAACTGTGATGAGGTCTTCAAGGGCGATGGTGGTTTCGTTGCACCTTGGCACCTTGGACGTGCCCCAACTCGGCATCCCGAGCCTTTGGCGCGATGTTGGTGATGGCGATGGCGGATGCAGCCACGGCCCCTATGGGTTTCTGGTTCTAACTTGGGGGGTTGCTCAAGTGCGAGAGCACATGATTGGACAGGCTGATAGGGTTTGGCATTCCTCCTGTAGGTGGGGTGATACTGTACAGTTTGAAGCGGTCTCGCCTGCCATGCAGGTAGACTCAAGCATGTGACTTCGGATCCAAGAGTTCGAGATCCGGTTTGGTGTTGGAATCTCCGCTTCAGAGCTATGTCAGCGATGTTTCCTGAAGTCATATGCGCGTTCCTTGAGGGTGCCTATTCAGGACCTTGGCGGTTTCTGTTGACTCACTTGTGCTTCACCGCTCTTCCTCACCCACGCCGAATAGAGGTGTGGTGGACAAACATATGGCTCTGGCAGGTTCTACATGACGCCTGTCTTCAGTGGCGGACTGGGGACGTTGCCTCTTGAATCTGAGTGTCCCCAGCTTCGGCCGTTTGAGACGTACAGACCACAGACCATGGGGGACCACAGACCACCCCGGAAGTCTGAATCAAGTCGCTAGCAGCTAGAGGGTGAATGTCGGAATCCATGGGACCTCATGTAGAAGTCATGTCTACCACCGGAAGTCATGTCTCCAGGCTTCCACATGTCTTCCTTCTCTTCTCTTCAGGTCCCAAAGGACATCTCCGCGGGCTTGAGACCCGGCATGAACAGTTCCTTGGCAGCACCGCGAGAGACGCGGCTGGCGCCGCCAGCCACGAGAGTTCGGGTGGCTTTTTTCGATCTGTGCAGCCATTTCGGGAGCCGGAAGGGCGAACTGCATGAACTGCCATTTGTGAACTGCATGAACTGCCTAGGTGTCACAGTGTCCATAGAGGATGAGCATCCTTCCAGCTATGCATTTGCCATTGCTGCTTGGCGGCAATCTCGGGCTTTCGCATCCATTTCCGGCGGTTCGTGAACGCATTTTTTGCGGGGGTGGAAGAGGATTCATGTATGCCCACCTCAGGATCGAACGTTTTTTCCTTTTTGGGTGCCTCCCTGATCCTTTCCTATGATACATATTCTATTCACATCGCATGGTAGAAGTCAACCATTCCTCCAGGGAGAAAACCGTCGTCCGATTGGCAAACGTCGTCCGCCAGAAACCTGGAGCTGGGGACCCATGGGACCGATCCGCAAACATCGCATCCGGGAACCCCGCCGATTCATTCATTCGTTTGGTCTTCCCCCAAAAACTGGTTCCAGCCCTCGTAGCAGGTCTCCCTCGAATTTTTTCTGACAGTAGATGACTCACAGTCCCAGAGTGCAGAGGCTTGTTCGTTTAGATCCCATCGACCTCCGATTCACTTGGCACTTGGCACCCACTGCGACCATCCGCTGTGCTCCGACCCCTCCGACCCTCCGCGACCCCGACCCTGCGCTTCCGGAGGTGCGGACGCAGCCCCGCACCGCGGAACAGATCGCAGAGGACACCAACAGTTGCGAGGAGGAGCGACCGGATCAACGACGGAGTTCCCCCTGGCGGTGTGGGAGCACGTGCGGACTGGTTTGTTTGGGGCGGCGACTCCAACGTTGGAGTTGTCGCTGACGCGCGAGCAAGCCGGAAGGTGTTTGACCATTTGACCAGTTTCCTCACCTCATGGATCTTTTTTGCAGCTCCTTGGGGCTTCGCCCGGCGCAGCAATCCGACCTTCTTTTTCGTGTTTTGAAAGCATGTTGATAAGTCAATTTTGAGGCACGGAGGTTTCTTTGTTTTTTGAGAGGGCCAAGTGAGAAAAGCTTCTGTTGAAGCCAAGACAGGATCACGTTTTTGCGCATGTCTTGGCATGCGTCTTGACATGTCTTGACACTGCTGTGCTGAAAAAAAGGGGCCACCGTTGTTCTCTTCCCACCGGTCAGGCCTCAAAAGTCCCCGGACTCCTTGAAGCGGTCGTTTTCTCCAGAACCCCCCGGGGGCGGCCGAACCTGGGCTCGGCCACCTGACTGATACGCCGGGGGGCTTCATCCAGGACGATGCCTTACGGCGTGTCTGCATGCTGTTAAAGGATACATGGTCAGCCTCGGCTTGTTTGTGGCGGCAGCACTGTTGGGAGCGAGAGCTTCGGTCACAGCGGTTGTTTCAAGACATCACGTCCATTTCGTCTCGGTGTGAAGTTGTTGAGGGACCATGAATGATGGACCCATTTTTTTGTGGTGTTCAGGCATATCACAGGGTGCAGATTGGAAGCTCAGTTTGTATGACCAACCAAAGAATCAACCCAATAGCCCCCAAATCAACAAACCAAAGAGCCACAGAACTTACATGTCAAAAAAAAACCAACTGGCTTGTTATTTCTTTCCCAGAGTATAGCATCTTACAACCAAACAAGCAGACAAAGCAGCTGGTTTGGATCGGTAGAACTTGGCCCGTTGCGCCGTTGCGCTGTGGATGGGTTCCATCTTTGGATGACAAGGGTCCAGCCCCCCCTGGGTGGATCCTGAAGTTCGTCACATGGTGGGGATGGATGAGGGGTCGCTTTGCACCACCGGATTTTGTGATCAATTTGTGCCAAGCCGCAGCTTTTTTTGGTTGAACATTTTTGTGATACACTTGGTTTGCCTAAGAACCTTTTTCGACTGGTGACTGGTACCGGAAAAAAACCGGTTTGTTAAGGATTTTTGACATTTCTTTTGTAAGATCTAGACTATTTTCGATCATCGACCTGATCATAGACTTCGGCTTCACGACGAAGCACCTGGCAGGGGCATCAAGGAGGTGGAGAATGGCGATGCCAAAGAGGAGTTTCAGAAGGAGCCTGAAGATGAGAAGATGGAGGATGCAGAGAACGCCCCCAAGGCAGAGCCTGACAAGCTTGAGGAGAAGGACATTCCAGAGAAGGATGCGGATGAAAAAGATGAAGCAAAGCCAGCTCCCGAGCCAGAGCTACCCAATGGCACTGCGACCATTGATTCCGATGAGGAGGTGGGGGGGAAGGATTGTCTTGGTGACATATACGGGACTTGAAGATCTCTAGTGGTTTTCACTGGTCTTGATTCAACCTGACCCTGCTGCTTTCAGCAAAGATCGTTTAGGGGAAAGAAGAGCTTCCTGAAAGGTGTGGTTTCAGTTTCAGAGGTGAAGTCTGAACCCACTTGAAGATCAGTGGAGTAGCTGAGTAGCTGTCTGAGAATTTCTGCCCTCAACTGTGCCTGTGCCTGTGTTTAGCTATGTTTAGCTATTTCATTGGACCACAACAAAACTCCACTCCACCCATCATCGCCCTTGACATGAAGAGATGGATGCTACGATCCTTCTTGGATGGAGATGCTCTTGCTTGTGACGTTTGGAGATCTTTTCGTTTTTTGATGCCACGATCCGAAGATCTCAAACATCTCAAAAACACCTTTGACGCTTGCCCGAAGTCCAAAGACTACAATTTGGCATTTGGCACCACTGAAGTAAAGGAGGTTCCTGACATCGGGGTCATCTAAAGACTCTACGACCATTTTCACCATCATCCACTGGACTCTCAGGGCCCCAGTCTATCTGAATTCCAGCGACGATCTCCTGGTGAGGTGACTTGCGTCCTCTCCAACAAGCTCAAGCTTCGCTGTCCTCTCTCCTTCGAACGGGTGCCGCGCGGGGAAGGGGGTTGGGTCCCGGTCCAGCGGCGTAAATCGGAGTTTATTTAGCAATAATAAATTCTTTCCATATGTGGTTGGGAAAGGGACTTCTTTTTGACAAATCGATGTGTGCCTTGGAGCTTCCACCTTGGCCAGCCGACTTAGATTAGCACCCGCTCAGGCAAGCCCAGGAAACAAAAATGCAACGCCCTGTTCGTTCTCAAAAGTCGACCGGATGGGAAGTCAAGAAGCTGGTGCAACCAAGCTGGTGCAGCCAAGCCAAAGCCGCTGATCTTCGAAATTCTTCACGCAGGTGGATATCCCCGTGAGGGGCGAGACCTGCATGTTGGCCTGGCTGGTTTGGAGAGTGCTACAGGATTGCAGTGTTCACCTATCAAGTGTTGGCCTGGCTTGAGAGTTCCCAAAGCCTCGCAAAAAAACAAGGAACCATAGAGAGGAGCCAAGATGGCGCTCATGACAAACTTGAGCCGAGCGCCTCAGAAGTTGCAGGAAGTGATATGGAAGGTGGTAACTGTCAACGAACTTGCACCGCCTGAACGCACACTACTGGTAGCAGGTTCCTGTTTCGTTTCCCATTAGCGTTGTTGTTGCTCGAACCCCGAAGACACCCTTTTCGGTGACCGAAGCTGGGTCTTGGCTCGAGATCCGGCGCAGTCGATGCCGAACCGACACCTCACGGTGGGACCCTGGCCGCTTCTGTAGAGGGCGCCGGGCGACGGCGCCCATGAGAGGCGGGACCTCGCCGGCGGGCGAGCCCTGCGGTTTTTTTCATCCCCATGCTCACCTAGAGTTGGTCAACTGCCTTCCTTCTTTTTCAATAAAAGGTCCACCTGAACGGACACCTATGAACCCTATGAACCCCTCTGGATCCCTATGGATCCCCAGCAAACACCGCTGTTCCGACCTTAGGTCTTGCGTGCTCCATCTTCGCTCAAAAAAGAACCGTTTGAAGCGATGCAATTCTCCGACCCGGGAGGTTTTCTCACTGCAGCATGCTTCGTATGGCTGGCCACGAGCCGCGACGAGTGTTCAGTGACCAGCGAGTGCAGTCCCCAGGACAGGCCCCAAGCTGTGGGAGTACCTGAGGTTCTGGCTGTTTGAAGGAAGTCATCTGGAACAAGCTAATTGGACGAGGACTATGACTATAGCCTATAGATGCCTATGGCCTATGCCTCGAGCTTTTTTCTTCTTTTTTACGGTGATCCTTCTTTTTGGGGGTTTCCGCTGTTCCAGCTGCTTGAGTTCTTACATCAACAAAGGTGGGTTTGTTGATTTTTAGGATCTGACCACATGTCGGCTTTGACCGACCTTCGGTTTCAGAAAGCAGTTTGGTGAAACCACCAAGGAAGAAAGGCTGGATTGAGCCGCACATGTTGAACACTGCTGGCAGATGTGAGAGGTTCCTGATCATTTTGACCCTCTATCCAACAAGCAGTGGACGCTTTAGTCTTTTTGGGATGACGACTTTCCTCTACCAACAGTGAGTTTCCACTTCCTTGAGGCTTGGAGGAAGGGACTTCCACCGCAGATGCCCAGAAATGGCTCGTCTTCCCCCGGCTCCACATCGGTGATCCTCGGCCCTCGGTGCCCCACCGCTCTCCGTCTTCGGCTTTGGACGAAGACGGGTCGCTTGGAATGGTCGACTCCACCAGGACAATAGCTTCATACAGATGGAGCTGAACCTGAAGTCAAAGACCAGTGTCACTTGTCTCACGTTCGGGCACTTTTTTTTTGGGGCACGTAAAAAAGGGCTGTTTTCGGGATCTGTAGGACATGTTGTTTTTTGGCTCGTCTGAGGATTCGCGTCAATTAGTTTGAGTGAACCTGATAAATGGTTTTTGCCGCCAGGGCTGAGATTGGGCATAGAACATTTTGGCAGTGACAGATTGATCTCTTGGTGTCCTTTGTAGATTAATCACTTTCTCAGAAACGACCATCTCAGGAATTCAAGATGGTGATATTTCTCCATCGATCCATGGTCTATTGATCCCTTTATATATCTCAAGATGGTTACATGCAAACCATAATTTTAAGTTGAGAAGGAGAACAATTCTCATCCGACCGTCCCCAATTCTCACCTCCAGGCCGATGAAGTCTTCCACACGAGGCCAAACGGCTGGTCGATCGGATGGAGACCATGCAAGCCAGTCGAAGTGTATTTCGGGAGAAGCAGAGGCGTGCCACCCCGCTGGTTGGTCCAAGGTTTGTGCCACCAGCGGGTGCGATCCAGAAGAAGAAACACCAGGGGGTCAGTGGAGTTCCCAAGTGAGGGATCATGATGCGATGACTAGTCCTGGAGATGTTTATCTAAGCTCAGCGGCATCAACGGTGGCGGCTGCGTTTGCTGTGAAGTTGCATTGAAGTTGCTGAACATTTCGCCCTTTTGGGCGTCGGAGGTTCCGTGCCGCAAGGGGCCCGTCGGGTGCAAAGCGATTCGAATGAAAGATCGATTCGATGTGGTCCCCAACTTGATGAACCTGCAGCCTACTCATGAAATCAAGGCAAGAAATTAATACAGCATCTCTCTGGAACACTTCAATGTGGTGACTTCCACCAACTTCCGGGCTTCCGCCCCCCCCACTTTTGGGCCAAGCCATTCGCACCTCCGACGCGGCGTGCTGCGCAGCACGAGGCTCGAGAAGCCTACGAAGGCCCGGTTCGGGCGCCGGTGGCGCCGTTTCTTTTCGTCGGTTTCGGCGAAACGAAACGAATGGACTGTGCGAGCTGCGACACTGTGCGAGGGCGAGGAGGCAAAGAGGTTTAGAGACACATTCTTTGAGATCTGAATCACAAGCTGTTTTGCATTAGAGCCGACTTTCGACCCAAAGTTGCTGCTACATGCTTTGACCCCAAATGTTGAAGCAACGGCCCACAGTGAGTGGCCACATGGTTTGCACTCCTTGTTCCTCCAACTGCTGAGGACGAGGGCAATGGCAAGGGAGGAAATCATTCAAAGAAAGAGGAGAGCCCAAGTACAAGTCTTCACAACTTGCAGATGATGAGATGAACATATACACTGACATCCCGTTGTAACCGAGGACAGCAATAGCAGCAGCGATACTGAATCCAAGAAAGCCAGACACCCAAATTTACAACAGAAGAGTATAGACTATCGAGACTTCTAGCGGTCAGAGCGGAATGGTACTTGATTGCATTGGAGATGAGGAAAAGGCCAAAGAAGCTGTTGAAGCGAAGAAGGCCGGAAGCAAAAAACACATGTTGAACTTACAATCCAGTATGGAGTTGCTTAACACAAACAAATAAAGGTACCAAATAGACAGAGAGCATAAATCTATTTGCCGCTGATGAAATTAATACATATATATATATATATGCACTTGCATACTGCTTGAACCGAGGCCGGCAACAGCAGCAGCGATACTGAATCCAAGCAGGCCAGACACCCAAATTTACAACATAGGAGTATAGGCGATAGAGGCCTAGAGTGGTCAGAGTATTTTTTCTGGCCCTTGATTGCACTGGAGACAAGGAGCAGGTCAAAGAAGCAGTTGAAGCGAAGAAGGCCGGAAGCAGAGACGTGCCTGTCAAACCTGCAGCCCAGTCAGGAGTTACTGGACATAAACTCACTATGTAAGAGGGTTGCATAGGTACTCAATGGAGCAGGACAGCACCAATAAAAGACTTCACAACTTTCAGATGTTAAAATGACAACGTAAACTGACATACATTTTTGACTGAGGACAGCAACAGCAGCAGCGATACTGAATCCAAGAAGGCCAGACGCCCAAAATTACAACAGAGCAGTACAGACAATCGAGGCTTGTAGCTGTCAGAGTGGAATGGTCCTTGATTGTATTGGAGATGAGGAAAAGGCGAAAGAAGCTGTTGAAGCAAAGAATGCCCGAAGCCAAGAAGCACGTGTCGAACCCACAGTGCACTGTCATGAGTTGCTAGACATGAACTCCCCAGAAGGGAAATATAGAGGTTCTAAATGCAGGAGGA